GAAAGCTGCTCTAGTTGTCGCTATTCGTTATGTGATTTCTTCCCCAACCCCACCTCCAGCTGTGATTAAGCTCCCGAGGTACTTGAAGCTCTCTACCACTTCCAGCTTATCACCACAGAGGGTAAGTGCAGGCACAGGCTCCTGCCTTGAACCAGCACTTTGCACTTTGATGGTGCAAAGCACATACAATACCTGGATACCTCTATCGTCAAGTGGTGTGAAGCTTGTACGACTGCCTGTGCATTGCCACCCAACAAGGTGATGTCATCGGCATATTCTAAGTCAAGAACTCTGTCCCCTGGGAGGAGTTCGACTCCCCGGGACAAAGCGTCCTGCAGAGCATCCTCTATGGCGAAGTTGAAAAGGAAAGGGGATATAGGGCAGCCTCCACTGGGGACGGCGAAAGGTGGTGAAAGCTGGCCATAAGCCCTAACCCGACTTGTTGTAGCCACGCGTTACAGTTGACGTGAAGAAAAGGCTTCGGCTCCCAACCGGAAACTTCGAGAGTCCCGACAGGGATCGAAAATTTTGTGCTTTACTGTCAAGTTCCGCCTACTCCAAAGACTCTACCGTCGGTATCGTACGATTTGCTCCCATTTTCCAGGAGGATCGTTACCCACATGCTTATACGCAAGCTACTTCGTGACTAATCCTAGCAAGCGTCTAAATGTAAGTACTCTGTGTAGCACTGCCTCTGGTTTAGGTTAACTTGAAGAATCCAGAGGATCTCCGTGTTCTGAAGCCCGTCTTATAAGCTACATGGGGAAGGGGCTCCAATCAGTCAAAAAGTCGAATGAATTGATTTGAATTACCACATTACCGAATTGACGCCGCATTGCTATCTCCCATTGACCCTCAACTGATAGGTTCACTCGGTTGCAGGGTGTTATCTTTTTCACCAAGTTGCACCTTGTTGACGTTTACCTGTAGGTCCAGGTTGCTCATCAGTAACACATTTTTGACAATCAACACGTTGATTTGTTTCCCTCCATTTCGGATAAAGGGCTGATGTCAAATGGCAGCAGTTGACCAATAATGTATGGGTTGACAGATCTATTGTCTTTAGGGGTCAGTTCAGTTGAGCCTTAAAATGTTCTCCCCATCCCTCGAAATTGCTTTACTGATGATAAATCTGTGTGCAGTTGGATTTATTATTTACCTCGCTTAGGCCTACTTTCATTGAGTCCCCTACCTGTAATTAGACGAGAAAAGTGTTACAGTTACCAATGGCCGCAGTTATTTTCATCTCTCTATATTTTTCTACCCACCACTTATCGCGATCGGTCTTGGGCTGGCGCTTAACGGATTTGCGCGCTGTCATCATCATCACAATGATGATGATCCTTTGTGTCTTGATCGCGCGCCAGAATCGATCGTTGTTGTGCTCAAAGTTTGGATAGCTTCTTTGATTTGAATCCAGTGTTCGTTGAGTCCTTTGGTGGATGACTGAACTTCAATGCGGTGACAGAGCTCTGCTTCGAAGGCCACTTTACAACGTTATATTGTGGGCATCCGTCAACGGTATCTGACTGCGATTCGGTACATTGGGATCCACCGCTGTGAGGAGGTAGACCTTGACCGAAGGCAACGTGCGATTGAAGTATGTGAACAACAGTTCATAGCTGAGAATTGCTCTTAGTTAGACAAGGGGCTTCTGGCATTTAGCGGACTAGTACCAGAGAATATCTTTCTTCAGAAGGCGAATGAGATGGTCATGAAAGTCTCGTAGAGATGAGAGAACCCCAGTTTATTAGTGGACGCTGTCGATAAGACGGGCTTCAGAACACGGAGATCCTCTGGATTCTTCAAGTTAACCTAAACCAGAGGCAGTGCTACACAGAGTACTTACATTTAGACGCTTGCTAGGATTAGTCACGAAGTAGCTTGCGTATAAGCATGTGGGTAACGATCCTCCTGGAAAATGGGAGCAAATCGTACGATACCGACGGTAGAGTCTTTGGAGTAGGCGGAACTTGACAGTAAAGCACAAAATTTTCGATCCCTGTCGGGACTCTCGAAGTTTCCGGTTGGGAGCCGAAGCCTTTTCTTCACGTCAACTGTAACGCGTGGCTACAACAATTAAACACGAAATTATCTCTTATTGTTCATGCGAATTCGCGACCGCTAGGGTCTATCTATTTTTGTTCCTTTCCATGTAGAAGGTATTCACACATGGATCTTCATTGCACGGACCTAATCGCTCCCGTTTCACATTCCTGGTCAACTGTACTCGTTAACCTCGGGAAAACTCAGTTGCTTTCACTTGACATTTAAAATCCCTTTGACTCTGTTTGTCACGAATATCTGCCTTCGAGATTACCCACATTCGGATTCCATCCGGTTCTTGTATCGTGTCTGTATTGTTTTCACAGGAAGCGAATTATCTGCGTCCTAGTCAATGGGCTCCTCTCTCGGTCATCTTCTATGAATACCGGTGCTCACCAAAGTTCCATACTGGCGCTCATCCTGTTATTTTGTCCGAAGCCTCCAATTCCGTCCATCGGTTCTCGGATGATACCGCTTTAGTACCTAGACTAATAATGCCCACGAACTAAGTACAACGAGCAACGGACAAAGGGACGAGCCAAAAGAGTATTACCCTTATTATGAAACCCCAAGATGGTTGTATTGATTTGCTCTTTAGAGCAGAGGGAGGGCGAAAAGCGTGCAGAAAGTGAAAGTCAACGACCCGTGACCAACTAAGTGGTTTTGGTCAGCTAAAACAACAATGTCCGAATATCGGAAAGGTACATGTGCGGAGCGGGTTGGTGCTGCTGGTTCTGGTTCCCGCCAGCAGTGTTATTAGTGCACCACTTGCCTCCGATCTTGTAGTCATATCCGCCTGCGGTTCTGCCAACCATGGTTATTTAAATACTTCCATAGCTTCTCTTCAATCATTCTTAAAGAAGCTCCTTCATTTTTGCCAGTTGAATTTTGAATTACTTTCCCTTCGTTCCACAGATTCCCATGGGTTCATCGATAAATTCTTTTGTCTGTTTGTCTCCATTTTTTCCACACTTGCCCCTAGCTCTACGTATAAAGTCGGTTTGCAGTTCCACGTCGTATGCTCCTTTACACTCATCCGCCCTCTTATTTCTTTACAAAACCCCGATCCTCCCTATGGTTGAATGTTGTAGTCACTTGGACTGTAGGTTTGTATTCCGCATCTTCACTTGGCCAGTTGATCAATGATCATCCTATCTACGTTCGCTTACCGATTACCGGATGGTCGCTTCATTGCCTCCTTGCTATCGCCACTGTTCTGGTTTCTGTTCTTTTGAACTTGTAATCCCCCATCCCCGTGACCTTTTCTAATCCGTTTCCGTCGCCGGCGGCAAACCACCCATATCAAATTTCTATCCTCAGATATCCGAATTGATTCTTACAGTTTTTCTTTTCATGATTGTGTACTTTCAGAATTACCCCTCCTGTGTCACATTTCTAATCCTTTATAGCCGGTCCCTCTTCAAAAGCACGATCAACAAATTTTCCCGTACCTGAATGTTCCCCATGTACCTTTCCATTTGCAGTACATCTTTAGCTATGGGGTTTACCCATATCACTGTACATTACTTTGTGTAATAAAAAGAATCATGATCTCCCAAAGAATGATACTCACAGCAGAACAACAATACGCACAGATGGGAAAATGGGGTAAATGAGAGAAAAGAGTGGGACAAAAAATAAATAACACATCAACGGTGTGAGCACTGGTTTTTTTTATAAATCTGTTTATTAAATGAGCGGGATCCATCTCTATTTATAGTCAATCAACAATTTGGTCATTCCATTGTCCGCGACCAGCGAACGCACCAGGTAGCATGTAGCTCTGCTTACGGGTATTGTTTGATATCTGTAGAAATAATTGCGTTCAATATGGGTGAACGTACCATTAAACTAATTCTTCCTTTCCCCTTATTTTCGTTCCATTATTCCTGTTGTTCCTGTGCATCAATGCGTCGGAATTCTCCTTGTACTTTATCTGAATGGTTTCGTCAGATCTTATGCAATGGTCCCGGAACGTGCATCCCTGTCTGTTTTGCTGCTGTTCTCGCTCGCGTAAGTAGCTCTTAAAGAAAGTCTATCCATTCAAACAGTAAACACGTAGTGTATATATATATATATACCTTTCTGATGATCTTGTTTTAATGTAGGCGTTTCGCGTTGATTTCCAATGGTTTGTGCAGTCCAATGATAGGTCCAACTAGTCACTCATGTGGTTTTTCACTTCGAATCTCAAAATTTGATATGACGATTCTTACGACTGAACAGTGTGTTCACTTTACTTCTCACCAAGTAACATCGCTTTGATTGAGTCAGACCAGCGCAGTTCATTTTAGTCTTGTTAAGTTAGTCTAAACTTGAACAGACCAAACACCTTGTTTTTTTAAATTTCTTTCCAGATTCTTCTGATGCGTCCCATCCTGATCGTGTTTGTCGAGAGCGTATGCCGCACTCAAACTCTGTCCTTGACCGGGAAGATTTTGTACTATTCTCGTTGTGCTGATGTGATTGTTCAATGGCCGCGGTTACATGCTGCTTATCCGAATACAGTCTATTTGGGTTTACTCTCCTGACTATAGTGTTTCTTTCACAATCTGCTCCATTTTGATCTGGTTCTCATTTTGTGTTGGGTATCTGAAATCAGTGGCAAGTTGAGATCAGATTCCCACTTATCCTATCTATTCATCCATGTTGTACTGGTAGAAGAACAAACTAAGGCACTGGATCGAACCAAACGGGTTTTGCTCTTCCGTGCACAGAGGGAATCGTTCTGTGTGGTCGCCTGCTTGAAGCGTTTGTGTCGTGCCTTTAAGGCTCTTTGTTCACCCCCAGTTGAAATCACTCAGTGCCAATGATGCTTATCCAGTGATGTCCATTCAACTTTGCATTACTGTCCAGAGTTTTCTTAGTTCTTTATATAATCACTTCTTCTGAATATTGATCCGTAAACTGATTAAGCAGCTTAATGAGAGGCTTCAACCTTGTAAATTTCTGAAGTCTTTCGTATGAACTATCACGGAGAGATAATGGGGTTTTCCAATCCTATATCATATTTCTTCCGCCTCAAGTCTTGTGCTTCAACCATCTATTGATTCCAGTCACAGCGCGATGAAGCATTGAAACGACTAACTGCTCAGCACCTGCAAATGAACGTGATGGTTATTTAATTGTACTACCAGCCGAACTCAGTGTGAACAGATCCTACGCAATTCAGTATGCATCAGCTTTGTAAATTACCCATAAATTTGAACAAGACAAGAACCCAACCGTACTGGATGAAATTAATAGTTGCGTTAAATCCTATACAAAGGTGGCCATGGTAAGTGCTCCAATGCAGTTTCCCGTAGAGTTTCTATTCATTTCGGAATATCGGGAACTAAATCACTGCACTGAACGGAGATTGTGTTCACATTACCACTATTTATGTTGCCAAGTGTTTATCGAGCTAGTTACCGTGTCCAGTTTTGTACTGGAACAGGAGTGTGATCGGATAAAATCGACTCAAATCCTTGACGAGTTGATCACAAGAAAACCAGACATTTGTTGCATTCATTTAATACATAGTCGAATAGCACGTATAGCATTATGAAATTGTGTTGATGAATACCCTTCAGATCCGAGGAGAACTGTGTCCTATGTGTCATCTGTTAGCTTGAAGAATACGTTGCTTCAACTGCGGTTTCTAGGACCGAAATTTTGTCGATCATCCCAACAAGACTAGCCAGCCATCTAAACTGGCACCACGATCTTCTCATGAGTACAACTTAGGTTTATCCTCGTGTACCCATCTCATTACAATCACTGAAGATTAAAAATGCCGAGTTACCTGAGGCATCTGGGAGCGTCATTCGGTAATAGAGGACTAACGTTATCAGTAGCGGATAGAGATGCGGAGATTATGAAGTGGTTGGACTATCCACAGAAAATCGAGACAACATTGAACACATGTATTTTGGCTTGAAAAGATAAAGGGATTGACATCGAAAAAATTAATTCCCACGTGAATTTGTCAAAATTAAGTCACACTTATCCCACACCACTAATCATGAGTAACTGCTTGAAATGCGAATCAAAAACATGTTCAAGCAAAGTCATTTAGGACAGTATACCCAAGCTTTCTAGGTAGACCTGTATGGATGTGAGTCTTCCAACTGGAGTTCACAGATAGCACATCATCTTTCGTTGCTGTCTGGCCCAAAGAACATTCCTGAAGATGACATCAGAACAAGGATGAATTGACAATTCTGGTCAACCTGGTGTGCAGTGGGTGACAGTGGTAGTGCACACCTTCCTTGCGATCTATCTGGAGTGCTAAGCCCGGACGGGATGGGGGATATGCACTACCGAAGAGGTTTAATGATGTCGAAACTCGAGTTTAGCGCCTCTCGAGTGAACGGTTGACTGGATAAACTGATAATTGTGTGAAGACGGGATCTGGAATATGGTCAATTCAAATCAGTAACAAGATACAGTGACCGATGCGTTAGCTTTCTGACAGATATGACAGTTCGTGGATCGCATAGCCTACCAGAAGTGCACAAAGTAAGCATCCCCGTGGGACCGATTTAGGGTAATTGGGGGTTTCCACATCATTCAGTAAGAAAAGTAGTCAGTCAGTTTCATGGGGTTACAAGTCCCAGGTGAGGTCTCTGAGACACAACGGGGACCCCATGGTTTGAATGGAGAGAGATATCGCTCGATGAGACACTGCTGACAAACAAACGAGTCAATATGGAGATTTCATTTGGTGGGCCGAAACAGTTGCTATTTAGAAGTACTCAAAATCCATGTTCAATCTGATGATGAGGTTTATTGTCAGAATAGCTGGTGACATTGCTCACTGAGAACGGTTGACTTGGTTCATCGTTTTGGTGAATTTCTCAAATTAAATCGTAATATTTTGGCATATATTTTTAATACTGTTTTTCATGTCGTGTAGTAGATACATTTATAGTGCGATTGTTCCATCGTACCACATCGTCTTGTGCCTTTCACCCGTGACCTCAAACGAGTAAATTCCCTCTGACCCTTTCTGTGATTTGATTCAATTATATTCCACGATTTGTGACACTTGGAATCCTCCACTGTCCGATTACCCGTTAAACATCAGTCGCTCTAATGTTAGCCCCCGGAACGTTTTATCCATTTTGACTTTCACTACTTGCTTTATATCAGTACCTAAAGTCAAAAACGATTTATTTACGCGTTGAACCAATCGATAAACAACACCAGCTCGCCTCTGCATATGAACGCTATGGTGCCGAAGTCATATTTCCATGATGACATTGACCAAACACTGTTGTCCTGAACACCAACACACTAATGGTCTTCGTTGAGGTCACCTCGTAGACGGCATACTCAGTGTCTATGATAGACATCAACACTGATGCGTCACCGCTGTTGGGCAAATTTAAGGATGCATAATAGACTGGTTTTGGAATTTGGCAGAAGAATAATTTATATTTTATTCA